AGAAAATTAACAAAAAAAATATTTTTGTCCTGCTTTTAAGATTTGTTTAAATGTTTTTCTTAGCCAGTCTTTGTGTATATTCATTTGTAACATTGTATACATATATAAAAAAATAAAATCTTCAAAAAGTAATTGTAAAAAAATTTTGAGGACTGCACATTTTATTTTTTATATTTTTCTTATTTAGTAAATTTTCTTTTTAGCATTTTTGAGCTGTGATAATGTGAATGAATATACTGTACAGGAGCGGAAAGTGTCTTGTGTTGAAGGTCATTGATTTTTATTTGGCTTTTTATTTCTTTTGACGGCTGATCTGAACACATGAAATGAAATTTCAGACAGTGACTGCTTTCATGTTAGCCAATCCCTGCAGCGTAGCTGTGCTTGAATACATATTTTTCCATTTTATCTCAGTCCAGCAACACATTCATAAGAAAAATAATCTTGCTTCTTGGTGTTTTTTGTTTCATTTTACATGGCAGGAACAATTTTGTTGACCTTCTCCATTTTATTTTTCTCACCACTTGATTCTACAAGGCCAAGATTTAAAAAGGGACATCATTCTATTCTATGCAGTGCTCCTTTGTCTGTCCTTAGATTTCAGGCACAAGGATTTACTTCGTTATACGGCTCATTCGGGCCCAGTTTAAAGATTATTTCACTTAGTTAGTTGGTTAGGAACAAGCAGCCAACTTGTTTCACCTGGAGAAGGCATTCTCATTGTATTTTGTTTTGTCTTTGGTATTACAGTACGTCATCCTATCATGATTGCTATTACCATTTGGTACTTATTTTATCTGCTGTAATATTCTTATTATATAAAAACAATACTGTATACAGACTACTGAAGTACAAGAAAACATTCCATCATTCAATGTTCCTGAAGGCTTTTACTCTGGTTTTTAGTCCATGCAAAGTTAGAACAAAGATATTCCACGCAGAATTCAGTGTAATGTCAAAAGGCAAATCACATCACAGGGTTGGAAAAAAATCATACTCAAAATTTAATTGCTCCATATTATTTTCCTTCTTTTAAATTTTTAATACAATTCGTAGTGCCATGGGGAAAGCGAGAGAAAGCCTTTATTTTGTGGGCCGTACAGGCGTGTCCTTGGAGGATTATTTTCTGGGACCTCCTGGTAGATATTTCTTTCCCATCTCTGGCCTTGAAAGAATCTTGATGCTGTTTCATCGCCAGGTCTAACGATCTGTTGTTCTCAGGAGAACATTGACCCACTTTAGCACAGAATAATTAGCCTCTGAGCTATTCATTTGCTTCTATCAAGCAGATGTAAGTGTACAGTGCAACCATTATTTACAGACAGCCATAAATTTCTTGTCACTGTTTTTGCAGTTTCTGAACCCTATATGAATTGCAGGCATCAGAGTAATGTGCTGTGCAAGATTGAAGGTGAAAACCATGCCATTTGCCAAAACGTACAATGTGAGCTTCTTTTGTCATGCAAACAATAACATTTACCGCTGCTGTGCAGCTAATCAGAAATCCAGCTTCGGGAAAGGGAAGGCTGCAATGGAATTAGTCTGCCTGACAGAGATAGGAATAGGGAAAACTAACCACTTTCAAATATGTAGATATTTCCACCCATGGCTGTATGTGCATTTCTACACTTTCCCCTTATTGTTTTTCCTTCATGCAGAAAAATAATTGTATGGTGGTCTTACACTGTAATCTTAACTATTTTATTTTTAAGATAGCAGTTAATCCTTATAGCTTGTTATACGGAGAGTTATATTTTAGCTTTATTGATAAACATCAATGATGCCAATGATGAGAAACATCCAGAAAACACTGTTAAAGGCTTTGAGCAAATTATTGATGGTCATAAAATATATTCTACCCCTGATTGCATCTAAGATCTCCAAGACTTTTGCACAGCGGTGTCTCTGTAAATATGTACTTCTTTTTTTCTGCTCTCAAGAGTCTCGTTATTATTATTCACCTGCACTTCAGATTCGTGTAGTATTCCCCTTAAAAAAGTAGATAATGTAGATATGCATGCTGTTCCTAACCAAACGTACATGAGTATACAGTATATAACCCCTGATGCTTCTTGAATAGTTTGATGTGAGCAATAAGCAAATTACATGTTGCAGAATTCTGCTCTTTGTGCTTTTTTGTTGGCATGTAGACATCTATAAGTCTTTAAGTTAGTTTTGTTGTTTTTTTTATCTACATATTACATGATACAACTAGCTTTTTGCTTGGAATCAACCTTAGAAAATGGGAGCTTCCAGTAGCACAGGACAAAGAGATGTCTGCTTGGATTTTGAAAGAAATCCTCCTTTAAGTTATTTTAGCACATTTTTAAACTTTACAGGTTAAGCATTGTTGGGTATCCTGTGCAAGATCTTCATACAGCACTTTGTGAAATGTGGTCTGTGTTTTACAAAAATCAAAATTTATTCAATGCTTAGTTAAGCAATTTATATTTTTTATTAACCCCTTGGATCTCTGAAAGGAGGGGATGTACAAAACGTGATCAAAAAGATTTTACCATCAGTACTTTAGTTTTGCCAGTCATTTATCTAAACCTAACTTGTATGCAGTGCACATTCTAAGTGCATTTTTTTTAGTCCATCGATAAAAACCAATACAAACCATGCAAGAATATTTTTTCAATAAAATATTATAAAATATTTAAAAAGAGAATTCTACATAATTGCACAAATTTAGACTGTATGATTTAGAGTTGTCCTTATGCTATACTGTCTTCCTTGCAGAGCAAACTACACTCTACATATATTGAAGTAAATTATTTTTTGCAGTGTCTTTATAAAAATTAGATTATGAATCTGCTGTTTTACAGAGAGTTTCCTAATCAATAGACAGATGGGACTATATGCTATTAGTTTTTTTTTTTTCTGCCACAAAGGAAGTCTTCAGAGGCTACCCTGAAAAATACCCATTTGCACACAGTACAAAACTAGATACCGAATTAACATTTTTGAATGATTTAGCAGATAGAGCAGCGTAACACTCCTGTTTGCTTTTGGGTGGTTACTGTACAAGCTATAATGTCTTCATTTAAATACACAGAGGTAAGCCTGACCAAAATGTTCATTGTGAATATGAGTTTTCGCATCTGTGTTTGCTGACTATTCTTTTGCATAGAGTTTGTTAAGCAAGTCTACAGTTTTAGGGATTAAGATTTTTGTCTGTGTGCCATTCGAACAGCAAGTTTATTGTTAAAGAGCAGCTCTCTATAACCTCAGTGAAACTTGGTTTGTACCATCAGGAAGCATGTAGCTAGCTGCTATGTAGTACAGTAAGTACACATGTAAACTTTTATACTGGAAAACCACTGTAGTTCGAAGCCACCTTCTATTTGACCTTGAAGATCTAATTGACCAAAACAGGACAGTATGATACATTAGTGGAAATTTATTTAACTGTGTTAAAGAGCTGCAGCAGAATGCACCTACAGTACTTCCTAGTTAAACTGCTTGATCAGAATGCAAGTATCTGATGACAGTTATAAGAAGGAAGACTTAATCCCAACAAGAGGTTGTGTCTAAAAAAAATTGGTATATTTTAACACTGCTCTTCAGCCCACAAATGTTACCACGCACACAAGTAACAGATGTAGGGAAAGCATTTTGAACCAGTAGGAGAGAGCGAACACGTTTTCACTACAATACCTTATTATCCTAAGCGATAGGATGCACCCAACAAAAAGCAGTGTGCTTGGAATCCATGATGCTTGTTGGATTTTCTCCACTTTTTATTTGTCCTCGGGAGTGTCAGTGTGAGGCTCACACATTGGTCACCTGTTGCTTTTGTTCAGCCTAGGGGTTTGCTTTTCTCACTACATCTTACAGACTCCTGTAGTCAGCCAGAAGCCACACCCTCTGGACCCCCTGGAGCTCAGGTCCTTGTCAATACAGCGTGCACCTATCACATGACTTGGCAATTTCTCACAAGGCCCTGTGCTCATGCAGATTTATTTTAACCAGATCTTCTCTATTGAAAGAGTCCTGTTTGCATATACTCCATCATAGATTAAACCACTTCTTTTTGTCATAACACAGTGAATGAGGTTGTATTTGCCTTCCTGACCCTTTGATTTGATTTACATATATGTTTCTATACATTTTTCTGTAATATGTGTGTGTGTGTATTGTACAGTATATTATGTGTCTATTTGTATTAACTTCAAGGAGGTTTTGGATTTGTTTTGAACTCAATTTTCTCAAATGGTATTACAGAAGGGTTCACAAATCCCTGAAGGATGGAACAGCACTGTTTTACTTTAGGTGCTAATGACCCTGGAAATAATTTTTCCCAAAACCATCTGTGAATAGTAAGCATGAAAGAATCTGTATTGCTACCCTTTAATTTTGACTGATTAACAGTATTAAGGCTTTTGCTTCTGTTAAGCTTTGATTAATGATTTAGGTCAGCCCAAACAGCGGAGTGTAAGTATCGGGTGATGTTTTACCTCTGTCTTTTGACTGACTTTTACGAGACCATATCTGTCTTCTAGACCGTTAGCTCAACTAACCTTATTGTTTCAGGTTTTGTGGCCATTTTCAACTTTATTTAATCATATCATGTGCACTCCAGTGTTACAATCTCCTACATAACACCCAAAGGGGCATTTATTTCTACAGCAATAAGTCCCTTTTGCTTAAAACAAGAGTTTTGTAAAGTTTAATCTTGGAAGTTTATTTTATATGTTCTTTATTGTCTTTACTGGTTTTGCACTGTGGTATTTGTACCTGTTCATTGTGTTTTCTTTTGCCCTCCCACCTTTAGGATTTCTTTATTTTTATGACTTGTCGGTTGCTTGACGTATATGAAATATACCTTTTCCACATTCTTTATATTTGTCATGTGTTAATGTCATTTTTGTTTGTATCAAAAGTTGTTGAGCAAACTAAAGGCTGTTCAGTGTAATTATCTTGTTATTTATCTTGTTTTTATTTTTAAGAAATCTCTAAACTGGAACGTGGCAATGTCTGTCTTTTCTGTTCTACAGAAATGTTGAAGGAGTTGAACGAGCAACGCAGAGCGAAAGAATTTACAGACCTGAAAATTATTGTTGAAGGCAAAGAGTTTGAAGTCCACCAAAATGTTCTAGCTTCCTGCAGCTTGTATTTCAAGGACCTGGTGAAAAGGTTTGCCTTCCTCCAGCTGTTGATCTGATCTGTTCTTTCGTAGGGTGCATTTGTGTCGCTTCTTCCCTTCCCTTTCTTGCAGGTGTGTGAAGACTGAGTTTCCTGTCACAGAGCCAGTAGCCATTCCTTCTATCACTCAAATGAATGTACTTCTGTACGGAAAGATCCACCCTCTATCTTACCTTTTCATCTCCATAGACTAAAGTTTCAGGATTCTTGTACCATATGTGCTGCATTTTTATAGACAGACAAGATGTTCCATGACTGGGGATCTTTAAAAAAATACATAAAATAAGTCAAGGACTTTTATATTTCCTGACTTTCCAAAAGCTTTTGTCTAGTGTCAGATAAACTAGACAGTTTGACCAAAATTTACTGTCATTCTTTTTAGAATAAAAAATAATTGATTTTTATTAAAAAGAATAGTAGTTTTGCGGTCTCATACTTGGTATACTTTGGAAGAGTTTTTAAAAGAAGGCATTTCCTTTGTTTTATTGCCTGATAATGGATTCATCATTTTGCAGTTTAAAACTTTGGTTATTGAAACATTTATCCATTGAAAAGTTTTTTTTTTTTACAGGCACTCCATATAATGTAAAATGAGTATATAAATAGCACATTTTCCTTATTGTAACATTTAAGGTTACATTATTTCTTATAACCTTTCTGAGACAAAAATAATGTTCTCTCTTTTATATCAGATTAGTCCTTTTTAACTTCAGTTTTGTTATTTACTTTCAGCATTTCTTGTCCCTTTGTTGTGATTTCATTAAACACAGCACTATTTTTTTAAACTTGTGATCCAATTTTAACCAGGGCTGAAGCAATGAATAATAGCAGAAAGATTTTGACTTGACAGCCTTCACCTAGGTATTGACATTTTTCTTCTACATAATTCCAGATTTACAAAAAATGTATTTCTTTTTACAATTGTATGTTTCCATATTTCATTTTACAAATATACATTTCTTATTTAGGGGGCATTTTCTAGGATTAGGCAGTAAATGATCTTAATGACAGACCTAGTAAGCATGTGTCCTAAAATATCTTTTATTTGGCACTAAGTGACAGACATTGATGTTGTGGGTTTTTACACATTCAAATTCACAATTGCAGTGGAACAAACATTGTCAATGCATGTTTTACAGTGATACGATTCTCATTAATAAACATCTATATTTATACTGTTGTGAAACATGCTGTAGAGCAAGTTTTGCCATTCATGAGGTCTTGGAATAAGATGTTCCTTTTTTATTTATAACAGTTGTTTTCAATGCTTACCAGGTTTTTATCTCTGTTTCTAATGTTTTACTATTTCACATGAGAAAATCCATTAACATTTTTTTTCCCTTCAGATCTTATTACATCAGCTGTTGTATAGTGCTAGTTTTCTCCACGTCAGGCTGCAAATCACCTGGATTAGCACAGCAAAGTGCTGCACTGTCCTCAGTGTATGCCGAGGAAATCCATGTTTGCAGAGTGTCTGCAGCTCGTGGCGGGGTAGCTTTACACTGGAAGTAAAAATTAATACACCCTTTTATAGTTCTTTCAGTACGTCTGCTTGTGTGAGCTATGTCTTGACTCTTTTATCAACCACAGAATAAATCTCAGTATTGTTCACCACCTCATCAGTTAGAAGACAGCTCAGCACACAGTGCTGACTGCTGCTTTTATGTGCATACGCTCTCTGCTGGGAGTGTTTTTGCACTTTCTGCTCTGAAAACAAAAAAAATCTCATCTTTATTCCTCAGCACTTCTCCGGGTGTGCCTCTCAGCATGACTCCACTGTCAGTTCCCCCCCCAGCACCTCAGTAATGGGATTGGCTGGTACAGGGGCATCTGAGGCTCGAAGCCCTGGAGGAAGTCTGATGACCCCCAGCCCCCTCACCCCCCACCCCCCCAACACAGCAAAAAGTTGAGATCAATAGCATTCATGGCACTTAACAGAGGGAACACGCTTTAGGGCTGCATTTCCTTTCCTCACAGAGTCTAGTCAGTCTACAGTGGATAGGATGCACATGGATGTGGGATAATAAGATAGGAATGCGTGGTGAGCACGGACCAGTTTCCGTAGTATGTCAGTGCTGCAGATACTACATGGCTCTACATGGCTTGTAATCTTCTTCATGTAACCTTGCTTCCTGGTTTAAAAAGTATTTTTCATTTTTTTCCTGTATTCACAGTGCTGTTTACAGGAATTTGGCAGCATACCAGATTGTAGCTGATTATAATTTCATTTGCAAAGCAGAAGTCTTTGCACAGTCAAAAGGCTAGTTTATAATATTCTGTTGATGATCTGTTTAACATGCAACTAATCAAGCCTGTGTTGATTTTCATGAGATCTTGCCTTGGCCAGCGTTTTAAGCTAAACATGTTAGAAAATGCAGTTGGTGGCAGTTGAAGAGAGAGTGCAGTACATATGTGCAGTGTACACATAAATGTATTGTTGTCTGTGAAATCTAGAATTCACAGCCAAACACATCAATGTGCAGCATTTATATCAATGTGCAGTGCCTTGCAAAGGTATTCGGAACCTTGTACTGTCATCTTGCTTTACAGCATGCAGTCATGGCACTTTAAAATCACAGTAAATATTTGTTATATACACTACAGTACATACTCCATACAGTCAAGGCAAAACAAGAAGGAAATAATAAAGATTTAAGCAAAAAAGTCAAAAGATTGCATAAGTATTCAAACCCCTTGCTGTGGCAAGCTTAAATTTAGGTACACAATATTACCTTAAAGAACAACACTGCTGAGAGGCTACTCTCTGTGTGCAGTAGTAGCTGGTGTCTATATTTTCTAACTAGTTGGTCTAAATGCCAAATTTAGGTTTGACCCAACAACACCAAAGGTGTTTTGGAGTGTCTTAGGAATAATGTCTTTCAGTGTCCCAGCTAAAGTCCTGACTTGACTCACTGTCCATAAGTGATTTTTACCACTTTCTTACTACAATTTCACCAAGCACTTCCCCAAAAAGAGCAGCAGTTTCACCAAATTCAGTTATCTGAATACCTAAGCAATCAACACATGTTTTTTTTCTTTAGTTTACTGTAACTTGTAACTGATCATTAGAAGTATTCAGTTTGAGCATTTGTGTTTTGAGTACAATATTCAGTTTAAAATAAGCTGCACCATTTTGTAATTTCTCAAAATAGGACGTTTGAAAGGATGCTTTTACTAAACTGGAGACTTGTAGATGTCACTGTACAGTTTATAAGCTGTACTGTATGTCTACATGTACAGTACATCCATAGTACTGTCTGGTACTATGAATCTAAACTAATAATGCTAAAGAATGACATTGATATTTTAAAAAGCATTACTTTTTAGACTACATATTGTATATTGCTTTACCTTGGACTATCTTTTAGTACTGGATGGACCGCAGGGGGTCAGGGCCTGTAACCTCTTGTCAAGCAATTCAGCAGCAATGTTAGATGTGAATCGATTGGATACCTGTAGATGAAGGAAAAGGGGTTTAGAGAGTTATTGGCAAATGTCAGGAATGTAATTTAAAAGTCTTGCAGTTTTTTTTTTCTTTTTATCTCCATCTCCCCTCCAGGCAAACAGTAATATTATACTGAGATGTTAATCATCTTGAGTTTAGTGTGGTTGTCAAGAGCCGAACTGCATTCTGCCAGATATATCTGTAAAATGAATTTAAATTAAGTTTAATCTAAAAAGATAGGAGTAGTTTACATTTATATGTTAAAATGACCACTGAAATAGTTTTCTACCTGTTATATGTGGCAGTTAAAATCACAAAATAAAATAGCACAAAAAATAATAAGGATTCTTTTTAACCATTGTCGTTATTTTAATTGCTAAGTAACTCTGTTTACCATGTATCAATCAGTTTTAAAACATACTTTATGAAGATGTTTTAGTAATTTACTGTATGCTGTTAATAATTATGTTTTAGGTGCCAAGTGCCCAGAAATATTATTTTTGCTAGTTTATAAAGCTAAATGTCTGTAATTGGTATATTCCAGGCTGCCCATAAGTAATATGATTCTGTTAAAATAAGTAAAATAACTGATAAGAGACAGAGCTTTGTTTAGTTTGAAGGTCTTTTTTGGAGTTACTCAACTTCAGGTTACTTCCATGTGTACATTATTTTCCCTTCTTCTTCAGAAGTGCTATCATGTTTTCATTTTAACCAAACCTGTCTCTATAAGTGAAAGTTTGTGAATATGTGAAATACAGCAACCTAAGGATTTGCTTGGATTTGTGTATCATGCACTTCCCTCTTGGAATCCCTTTTAAATAAAACATTTAATGCATACATAAATAGAAATTAAACATTAAAGAGGAATACATAAAGATCACAAAACATATTGCGTGTAAGAAAAATTATTTTTTATTACTGTAGTTATTTTGCAGTTATTATAAGTCAGTGGTACAGAGGTTCTTCCTAGTTCTCCATGTTCTTAACAGCTTAGTTTTTATTAATTTTGTAAGCCAGTAAAACAGCCTTTTTTCTTTTTTTCCAGTTGTGAGACTGTCAATTATTATTTTTCCAAGAAGATACCTCTACTGCTAAATACATAACTGACAACAAATAATTTGGTCTTTGAACCTTTGAGAATTTCTGTAGTTTCTAATTCCTCTAGAGATCACATTCTTAGTTGAGGTTGAATGGATACATAGATTGCTCATTGTTTTTACAATTGAAATTTGCATTAGACTTAATCTAATTTCTTTATCAAATCTGCAAACCAGAAATGGATACTGGTATTTGTAAATTGTGCACAGTAGTGCCTTCTGTTTTAGATATAAATGCTGTTGTATTTTTTAAATAATTTTTTATCCACCTTTCATCCCTTTTTAATGGGAGTTTTTTGTTTTTACAAAGGCTTCTTCTAATAGCCCACCTGCTGTTTTTTAAAATGGTGACAATTGATTCTCAAAGTAAATTGCTTGACATTCTCTCACTTAATTGAGTGAACTTCCAACAGTCTTCCCATTTAGCTAAAAGGTTAATTGAATTTTGT